TGGAACCATATAAGAATTATTAGATGATTATTTTAAAATAAAACTTAAATTTATTTTTTTTTTGACACTTAGATCTAGTCTTTTTAAAAATTGAATGGTCTCACCCCACTCTTGAGGCACTAGGTTTTCCGAGTGCATAGAGAGTATATTTGGATTTTTTTTGAGTTGAGATTAGTCTATGGGTTGTGAAGATTACATCCCCAAAGTTTGAGATCTAAAAAATACCTCTTGTATGTGTTTTGTCTGAGGGAGTAAATGGATAGTATACTCCCATAGGACTAGGAAGTATTTTTGCTTACATGATTGCCCATAGAGGTAAATGATAGTCGTTCTTTAAATGATTATTAGTGTGTCGAATCCCGGCTGAAAGTCTCTTTTTTTTTTAATGCAGCATATCTTTTTCTAATGTCTTTTCGTATTGGGTGCATTTTGTGTAAGTTGCGAACCTTAATAAATAAATAATAAATAATAAATAATAAATAAATCAAAGTAAGAAGAAACTCGGGGCAAAGTATTATTGAGAAGATTTAAGAGTTAAGAACTTGAATGCCTACATGAAATGAAACTCAGTGTTTTAAAATCCAATAATATACATCAGATCAGTAACTACTAATTTGGATTGAGAATCGGCCCAAACCAAACTAGTTCTAAGAAGGTATCGGTACGCGGACCTCCCTATCATGTTTTTTTACTTTTCAAATTTTATTAGGCTTATCTAATGTTTTCTTAGCCACTGCATCCCCACCTTCATGATGGGTAAATCCATCCCTACAAACCCATACTTTAATTTTTATTTCCATTTTTAATATTTTCGTATCACCAATTCAAACCGATCTAGATCGGTGATCCAGTGATTGAACATAGATTTATGGGTGGACAATCCCCCCATCTAATCTTTGTTTATTTATTTAATATTTTCTTCTTGCTCCAGTTGGTATCACAGCGAAGAGGATCCAACCATTACAATGCACCAATACCTAATCGCATGCCACAAACCTAAGAAGGCCTAACCAAAGTCATGGAATATTTTGAAGCGAAATTTGTGAAATAAATTAGCATTTGCAACGATTGGAGAGTAACTTTCATCAAGAATACAATGCTCCTAACTATATAGATATTACAATATTAGGGTGCCAATCCCTACCATCACGAGCAAATTTGTGGGCAAGATCATCATCCTATAGAACGTCCATGAGATCTCGACACTAAAGTTAATTTCATTCTAAGCTCCATATAAAGGCCTTTATTGATTGGTTGAGTACAGTTGAAATTTTTTGAATGGAGTGAATTGCCAAATGAGCGTAAAGTTAAACTTATTGCAACCAAGCTCCGCAAATATGCTGCGGCTTGGTAGGAACAATTCAACAATCCGGACTTCATAGTGGAAAGGCAAAAAAAAACTATTAACAAAAGATGAAAAAAAATTGAAAGAAAATTTTCTTTATGTGGATCATGAGAAAATTTTCTTCTAAGATCTCTAAAATCTTCGATGGAATGAAAACAAAATAGATGGTTATAGGTGGAATTTTATAGACTTGTAGCTTGAAACAACCTCCAAGAGATTGTAAAACAACAAGTTGCTCAATATGTAAATGGGCTTCAATCAACCATTAGAGATGGGGTCTTATAGACCTTAAGTTAAAGCTTTTTAAATTGCCTTATGAGTAGAGATCAAGTTCCAATAAAGCATTGATAAGCATTTTTTTACCCCAAAAAAGGTCTCATGCCAACCAAAAATCATTGAAAGAAAAAAAGATACTTTAAAGGTTACTTATTATTAATGTAATGAAACGTGATACTATATATGAATACCCCAAAAGAAGAAGAAGATGGATGTGCACTTCACTAAGAAGTGGAAGAAGTTCAAGATGAAGATAAAGTTCCAAAAATATTCCTACACAATGACGAGGGGATGTTCTTTGAATCAAATTAGACTTTTAACACTCAAGGTCGAGCTTCTCTGAGCAATGATGCAAATAAAATGAGGAAATTTAAAAAATTGCTTTTATTTTATATTTAGGTTAGAACTTTTTTTTCATATGGGATAGACGATGGTGGGCATTAAAATCCTTTTTATTTTTTTGGCGCATGAGTTGTTTAAAATATTGTAGGATTAGCAATTGGGTGTTTGAGATATACTTGGTTTTAATAACCTTAGGTAAGGGATGTGGCGGTTGAGTTTTTAGGATATGTTACATTTTATTTAACGTGATATTGAGGGAGAGATAGGGAGTAGAGGGAAATGTGGGAAAAGATAGGATTTTATGGGGTTATTATGTTTTTTTTTTCCTTTCATGAGTTCTCTTTGTTTGTATTTAAAATGGGAAACCTTTATATGAAAGGAAGGCAAATTGAGTAAAAAAAAAGTTTTTTTTGATCTTGTGAAAAGATCTTTAAGTGGACTCCTTCGCATACATATAAAAAAAATATAATCTTTCAGCCTTTTAATTTTTATTTTTATTTTTATTTTATTTTATTTAATATTTATCTTTGTGCGTCACCTTCACTTGCACCCAATTTAATAGAAAAAATGACATAATGAAACATTTATTTATTGAATGGTGAAATTATCAAGTATGACTTCATTAATCTTGTTTAAGCCTCATGTTAGGGTTAGCCTGGGTCTTGCAGCCCTAACGATCCTTGGGCAGCCTAGCCTACCCTATTATTGGATCTAATCAGGCTAGACTTTGGCCAGTAGGCTCGGTCATGAAAGATTTTTTTTTTTTTATAGAGTAATATAGAAGAGATGAAAATTAAAATAGTAAGGATGGATTTGAATGTGAATGATAAGGACTAGCATGCATGTACACATGATCATTCAAACACAACTCATTATTTATAGGGAAAATTTCGTACAGGCCCTTAATTCAACATCTTATTTCACGATACACCCTCATTCTATTTTTCTTTCAAGCGGTATAAAAAAACTCTCAAGTATTTTATCGTACACTCTCATCTTTTCTCTTCCACATTTATTCACTTTTGGCCACAAAAACTAGCCCCAACAAATTGTTTTATTTCATCTCAATCCAAAAGCCTTTTTAACCCTATTTTAAAAAAGGCTTTTGGATCGAGATGGAATAAAACAATTTTTTGGGGCTAGTTTTTGTGGCCAAAATTGAATAAACGTGGGAGCAAAGAGATGAAAGGGTATGGTGAAATGTTCGAGGGTTTTTTTATGCCACTTGAAAAGAAATAGACGGAGGGTCTACCGTGAAATAAGATGTAGAGTTAGAGGTCTGTACACTATGTTCCCTTATTTATATATTACTTTATATAATAAGTATAAGAAAAGGCACACTAAGGCTATCTCGCTTTGGTACATTGAGGTCACAATTACCTTAACCACTTGAAGTGGAATTGGGCGGTTGGGGCTGTGCTGCAGACTAGTCTCAATGCCTAATTTTTTTCTTTTCAAACTTTGCAACACCTCCCTAAGTTCTCAAACTTCACATTAATTACTAGATAATAATGTACCATCTCATACCTAAAGCATACGGTCTTATAGTATACAATACTTAAATATAATTTTCCTCCACATATGTATTACAATATTTATATGAAATGCAAGATTTGTGATAATAGAGTAGAATTGAGGAAGTAATTAAGATTGACTGCAAAAAATACTAAAAAAACCACACATTCGATATCTTGTGTCGATAATCTAGGAAAATGGAGAGATTGAGGAAGATATCGCACATAAAATTAGAGTTGGGTGCACGAAGTGGAGATATACAAACAAAATTTTATGTTATCGCTTTATACGATTGAAACTGCATGAAAAGTTCTACAGGACAGTTGTTAGACCAACTTTACTTTATGAGATGAAATGTTGGGCAGTCAAAAAATATCATACTCATAAGATGGGTGTAGCTGGGATGAGGATATTGAGATGAACGAGTAGGAAAACAAAAAGGGATAAACTTCTATATGAATACATTTATGAGAACTTAGGCTTGACTTTGATAAATGATGAGATGGGAGAAAATAGACTTAGATAGGCTGAACATTTATAACGTAGATTCAATACAATACCTGTTAGGTTTTGTCAGTTGGTTCAAGGGAAAAGTTAAAAAATGGTAAGGGCATGCCTAAAAGGACATGATCAGAAGTAGTAAAAAAGGATATGAGACTTTGGCGTCACTGAGGATATGACCCTTGATAGAGCAGAATGACATACCAAGTTTCATATAACCGATCCTAAATAGTTAAAAAAAAGCTCTATTAATGGTGATGATGATGATATTTACTACAATATCTCTCAATTAAACAAAAAAAACTCAACTCTCTCTCTCTCTCTCTCTCTTCCTCTCACACATCAAGTAGAACTTCATTGAGAGAATGAAAAGAGTGTAAATATGAGAGTACAGAAAGAAAAGATCAGCACAAAAATATAATAGAATAAACAAAACTGTAAGTGTTCCTAGTTCAGAATTCAATGATAATGTCCCTCTATGAACTTTGACTGAGAAGGACTGGCACCATAAATTCATCCTTTTCTCATGACTAAAAGTCCTCTTTTTTTCCATCACCAGTGCATAATTTTGGTTTAATACTCAAATAAGCTCCAAAGCAGCCACATCCCGGGCTTTTAATCCACATTTCACAATTCATACCTACAGGACTCACTGGTGCAAATTCAACTCTCCCATCATATACATGTTAAAGCCAAGAAAAGCTCCTTCGGATACATTAACTCATGCCATATCAAAGGAAAGAAATACCATATTAGTGGTATATCAGATGGTGACTGACCTAGGGCATTTTAGGTGGAAACAATGATTTATCAGATGGTATATAAGTATCATACATCAAATGGTAAATAAGACAGGGACAAGGCCATAGTGTGTATCATATGACAATAAGGAAAAGTAAAGAACAGATCTTCCCATCATATGAAGAAGCCTGAAATGGTCAATTTTTTGGCCCCATTGCTGTTTACAAATTGATAGCAAAATCACATGTCCCAAAATTATATTGGGTGGGTTTCCTAAAGTTCAGTAGGTAACATTGCGGGTTAATTTACCGAGCGTGCGAGAGAGTGAGAGAGAGAGGACAGAAGAACCCTTCCTATGGCACCTCCAAGCAGAAGCAGAGTACAATGGTGTGGCCTTCCACCCAACTGTCAAAGGCTTTCCATTCAACTCCAATGTGCAAGAATCAGCGTGGCCATGCTGCTTCACTATAAGACTTGCCTGATACAAGGCATCTTGGCTAAGCTCAACCTCTTCAAACAGCAACCTCGTCAAAAACAGCCTCCACACATCAACCCCAACATGCCTGATGCTTCTTTCTTCTCCATCTCTCCCCACCATGCTTCGAATATTTGTACCCATGTACAGTCTCTCTGTCACCAATCGATTCGCATCATCGGAGTCGAAGAAGGCATCAAGAGAATCGAAATAAGCAGCATGATAGAACAAAACCTCAGTGAATCTCTTCACGAATGATGGAGAATTGTGCTTCCCTTCCACCTCTGTGATCACCATTATATCAGGACACAAGCTGCTGATGACTTTGACAAGATTCTCCAAATAGTGGGGCTTAACTAGCATGCTGCTTAGCACCAGAGGTGCATAAACAGCGACCGATTCTCCATCTTCCATTGGCAATCTCTCTCTTATCTCTTCTCCCATGTCAGAGACAACAACCAGATTGAATACAAAGGGAAGTTTTAGAGTTTCTGAGAAACCGAGAAGCCTGTTACCTGCTTTTTCCATCCTTTCTCTGGAGTTCCCCACCATGGTTATTTTCAGAAGCTCAACAGGGTGATCAAGCCTTGCTGAAAGGCTCTGCATTAGCATGGTCCAATGCATCCCTGTTCTCACCTCAAGATCAATAAAATGAATCCTTGTTGAAGAGGCCATTGCATCAAGCATAGCTTGACTTGCTGTGAATTGAAGGATTTTCCCAAAAGGAACGACCTGGTAAAATACCAATATAGCAGGGTGAAAACCCATTAATACTCTTTCTTCATCCCCATTCTCTTGTGTGGAAGTTGGGTTCTGAGATCTTACCCCCGTTTCTCTCTCTAAAATCTCCCAAAGAGCTTCAGCGAAATAGAGGACTAGCCTCTGAACTGGGTTTCCAACTGGTGAAGACTTGAAATCGCAAACCATGAGAAGGCCCTTTGCTCTATCAAATTGCTTGTTTTCGATCTTTTCAGTTGAGGATAAGAGCAAGTGGATTAGCTCTATGTTCTCGATGTCTTCATTGCTCATGTTCGAGAGCTGGGGATTGAATTGAAGAGGGACGTTTTCGCCTTTGTCGAGATACTGTTCCCCTGCTATCCTAATCACTTCCTCTGTGGAGAGCTTTCTCCCTCTTAGAGTTCGGTTCTTGAGTTGGTTAACCTGATTAATTTCAGAGGCAGAGCTATTGCAAAGGCGTCTTGTCAAAGTATTGTATGATTTTAGAATCTCTAAAGCAGTTGGTGATATTGGGTACCTCTGAGCTTTCTTAGTCTCTGGAATTTCTGCCTTCTCATGGTCGTAGTTCGCATTTGTGGGGACCTGATGCTCCAATTCCTTTGCCTTTTTCATGTACTTGCCGTGTTTCAAATCTAATTGTAAAATTAGATAGATTTTCTGGTTGATTGAAGTTGAAAGTTGAACTAGGGAACATGTCTGAGAACCCCAGGAGTAGTTATGGGTCTAGCTTGAGCTTTGGAGTAATCAAAATTTGCAGAGGTTCTTGGTACTTGGAAACTTACAAAGATTTGTTTGAATGTGAGAAAACTAGAGAGAGGTGGAGGAATCAATGTGGGAGAGGGTGTGTATGTTTTGAGAAGTTGAGGAAATTCCCATAGCAAATAGGAGACTTCGGTTAATTCCACGCCTAGTTTTGAATAGTTATCAATGTAATAATTTTCATTATATGTTTTGTTTTATTGGAAAAGGGTTACGTTAGGGTGCTCACGCAATAATTTAACACGTTACCCTTATCTTTTGATTTAATTTCAAAATATACTCATAGAAAAACTCATGATCTGAAGTTGGAATTGGTAATGGGTTGGATCGAGCTGCCAACCTGACGGGTCGAATTGACTTGGGTCTATGTCTAGGACAGGGTTCAGAAGTAGGGAACCGACACCAGGTCAGGTTCCCTGTCTAGGTTGACCAGACCTGACCCACCCCGAATCCGAATATTTTAGTTGTGCTATTTATTTTATATAATTTCAAGCATTATAACATACGTACTCTATATGACATAATTTTTAATATAATATATTATTATACGGAAAACGTTTATATTAGCTTGAGGCCTTAAACAACCAAACTAAGGCACAACTCAAAAATTCACTAGACGAAGTTGTTTCAATGCCAAAAACTCGATCATCTCTACCTTGAGATACATGGACATGAAAAATGGACTTCAAGTCTTGGAAATAGTGCATCTTGTAATGCATTAGCTACACCGTCATTTCAAGATTTTCAAGATTTCATAAATCTTCTTGATCTACACTATTTTTGAAACTTTAAATTTTATAATAAAAATAAATTTTCATGCCGTCATAAAGATTTTTGGTACAAAAATTACGTATTTCGATGCTATTTGAAGTTGCGCCTTACTTTGATTGTTTAGGGCCTTAGCCTAATAAAAACCACACCCAAAATATCTAATGGGAATGTATACTATGAGACCAATTATCTTTGTTCCAAGGAGGTCGTAATTGCTGCTAGCCATAAGATATCAAATTGGATAGCCTGGGGTGTCACACAAATTCGAAAATTTTGTTTTTTGATCTTTGAATCTAGTCAATGATACACTCACAACCACCTAATTTGAAATCCGACATACATGAGTGATGCTGACCTCTTTCTATTAAAAGTAAATGGTCTCTTTATATGGTTTTCCATATCTGAGAAGGATACTCTCTCTTCCCTTTTTACTATTTTTTTCGTTGTTAAAGAGTAAAGAGGCATAGATGAGAGAGAGAGAGAGAGAGAGTTATGAAAAATAAGCAGTGCTTGACCTGACCAGGTCTGGGTTGGGTCTGGATCCACTGACCTTGACTTGATCAAGTCCGGGTTTGGGTCCAGCTTCAGGTTGGGTTGGGTCTGGGTCGAGTCAACCCGACCTTATAAATTACATATAAATAGTACTATTTATCTATTATAACATACATAAAATAATCTGTTATGTAATTTTTATTTATAAACTTGGGACTTAAGTCCAATTGACTTGGATCCGACCCCATCCATTCCCAACCCTTGTTGAAATAGTTTCAAAAAAGATAAATGATGAATTAGTGCATGAATATTTTGATAAATATCACTTGTTTTATTCATGCAATCGCTCTCCCGACTACAATTCATCATACTACCATTTACGCCTCCTATGGTTTTCTTAATTTCCTGCCTAGTAATTTGTATCATCTCTTATCTTACATCTTACTATTGCTATCAAAATTTGTTGCTTAGTCAAGTGAAATTTGAATTTAAACTGTTGATTGCTAAGTTTGCATTGTCCTCCCTCTTTTTTTCTTTTATTTATTTTTCTTCTTCTTTTTTCCTTTTTTTCTCTTTTTTTTTTTGTTTTTTTTTGTTTTTTTTTGTTTTTTGTTTTTTGTTTACAAAACCCTCCTTTTAAAAGTAAAGACCTCCCTCTTTTTCTTTTTTATTTATTTTTCTTCTTCTTTTTTCCTTTTTTTTCTCCTTTTTTTTTTTTTATATACAAAACCCTCCTTTAAAAAGTAAAACCTCCTCGTAGGATTCAGGAGATCCTTCCCCTATGTACATGACTATGTCATTGATTGGGTCATCCCTCCATTCGCCCCCAAAACCGCTAAGGTGTGAGAACCTTCCCCACCACGGCAATACATAAGGGACATATAAGAAATTCAAACTCCCCATTGCAATTACTACAAAGATACCTCTAATTGTTTAAGGGTGCAGTTTGTATAGAGCCGAGGCTTTAAATAATCAAAGTAAAGCACACCTTCAAATAGTATTGAGAAATTTAGCTTCAATGTTGGAAATCTTTGTGATAGCTTTAAAATATACTTTCATCTTTAATTATAAAATTCAAAACTTCCAAAAAAGTGTAGATCGAGCAGATCTACGAAAACTTGAAAATCTTAAAAATTGACGGTCCAAAAATGCATTACAAGATGCACTATTTCCAACACTTGCAGTCCATTATTTTCTCATGTCCGTGCATCTTGATATCAAGATGATCAATTTGAGGATATTTGGGCATCAAAACAACATCTTTAAATGAAAATTTTAAGGTAGGCTCTAATTTGATTGTTTAGAACCTCGGTTCTGTATAAACTTTTTCCATTGTATAACTTAATTATTAATAGTCATCTATGATAGATTGTATGTGTCCATAGAGCGTCAACCAAGCATTCTAGGACGAATGAAATACTAAAACACAAAAAATGAAATAATTAATTAATTTAAGACAATTTTTATATTGGCTACTATATATTTCCAACCTCCGGACAAGTAGGTGCTTCCTCATACAAAGACCACAATGAGAGCTCCACCATACGCTTGATTCACAAAGGAAAGCAAATAACTAAAAATTTAGAATAAAGACCAAAGGTATATTAAAAGGGAAAAGTTTATATAGAGCTGAGGCTCTAAACAATCAAATTTGAGCCTACCCCAAAAAAGCCACTAGAAGAGTTTGTTTTGATGCCCAAATATCTTCAAATTGACCATCTTGACATCAAGATGCATGGACATGAGAAAAAAATGGATTTCAAGTTTTGGAAATAGTGTATTTTGTAACACAATTTTGGACTGTCAATTTTTAAGATTTTCAAGTTTTCATAGATCTGTCAATCTATACTATTTTTTAAGCTTTAAACTTTACAAATAAATAAATATTTATATATTAAGGCTATCACAAAGATTTCCAATATTAAAATCACATTTCTCGACACTATTTGAAGGTAGGCTTTAATTTGATTGTTGAGAGCCTAGGCTCTATACAAACCACACCCATATTGAAATGAGACTATTTATGAATGAGGTTAGTCAAATTTTTTATAACCAAATTTGATAACCTTGGTGTGTCATAAAGTTCAAGAAAATTTATTTTTAATTTTGAGCTTAGTCAATGGAATAAATGTAGCTGTCCAATTTTACATCTAATGGTCAAGATTAATTGTGACTACCTTGTACAAAAAGTAAGTGGTTTCATTGTATACTTTTTTGTTAAAATCACTTAGTTTGTTAGTTTGAAAGAACTTGAGAAGGTCACTCCTGAAATGGCACAGGGATCTTTAGCATGAAAAGATAGGGTGTTTTATAGAAAAATTACCAACTCACTTATAGGAAATGAATAATTTAATAACCTGTATTTTTTAATTAATTTCAAAATACGCATACAAAAATGATAGTCTTAAGTTGCAATAATTGTAAATGGTATAGAGTTGAATAATTCATCTTTTATAGATATTTCAATAATGTTCCCTCATTTAAGTACGAAGGAGACAATGTATTTTCCTTTGAAGAGAGGAAAGGGGTGAGATAAGGAGAGAGATGCCTCATGCTTTTTTCTTCGGGTTTTTTAAGCTTGAACTTTGGATGCTATGCTACCATTTATTAGAGAAATAACTCAAAAATTGGAAATATATGAACCTTAATTAATCATGAATAGATATAAATCCCTCGCTATGTGGAAATTACAAAACATTAAGTTCATCTTAATTGAGAGCTCATAATTTAACTTTTGAGATTTCAAACTTGAGCCCTGCTTCACTGAAGCTACTGCAACCATACCCCAGTCCTTTTTTACCTACATACATGTAAGTGCGATGGGCATCCCAGCTTGGTTGGGATGTTAATTTTATGTCACCCACTTATTCCCAAAAACATCACCAAAACTCTTGAAAGACTACATGTAAAAAGCCTTATTTTTCCCCTATTTTCAAGAAAAGGGGAATTCTTTGATATGACCATGACTGCTTGATGATAGAGCTTTACATATCGGGAAAAGTTCATACAAGGTTGCAACATTAAAATGTAGAATTAAAGATGTGCCTCAAAAATCCATCGGAAAGGGTTGTTTTAATGTTGACAAACCCTCCATTTGATCATCTCGACATCTGAGATATATAAATATGAGAAAATAAAGATTTTGAGTCTTAGAAATAATGCATCTTATAACACATTATCTAGACAATCTATTTTTAAGATTTTCATATTTTTACCATTCTACTTTATTTAAACCATTTTTGGAGTTTAAAATTTTATAATTAGATATGAATATAGATTTTGAGATGATCCTAAGAATTTTTTACATCAAGATTACGTATTATGATAAAATTTAGAGGTGCGCCTTAATTTGGATTGTTTAAGGTTGCAACCTCATAAAAACTACACCCTTACATAATTACCTATAGAGGTAAGTAATACTAGTTCATTCACCCTTACACAATTGCCCATAGAAGTAAGTAACACTAGTTCTTTATGTAATTATCAGCATGCCAATCCAATCAAGGTTGTATATACGTTTTCATTTATTTATTAGAAGTCAACGTATCTTCTTCCAATGTCTTTTTGCATTGGGTGTCGAAGGTGCCAAC